GAGTTTGAGGTTGCTGTGAGCTAGGCTGACACCATGGCACTCACTCTAGCCCAGGCAACAGAGTGAGACTCTGTCTCAAAAAAAAAAAAACAATCATCTGAGCCATCAGTGAGTCATAATCTTTTTGCTGCTGGGGGGTCTTGCCCTGGATGTTGATGCCTGCTGACTGATCCAAGTGGTGGATGCTGAAGGTTAGGGTGGCTGTGGCAATTTCTTAAAATAAGATAAAAATGAAGTTTGCCACATCAATTGCCTCTCCCTTTCACAAAAGACTTCTCTGGGGTATGTAACACCATTTGATACCATTTTACCCACAGCAGAAGAACTTTAAAATCTGGAGTAAATCAAAATTGGAGCACCTTGCTGCTGCTTTGTCAACTAGCTTTATGTAACATTCTAAATCCTTTGTTGTCATTGCAACACTGTTCACGGCATCTTCATCACGAGTAGATTCCATCTCGAGAATCCACTGTCTTTGCTCATCCGTAAGAAGCAACTCCTCATCCATTTAAGTTTTCTCATGAGACTGCAGCAGTTCGGTCACATCTTTAGGCTCCACTTCCAGTTCTCTTGCTGTTTCCACATCTGTAGTGACTTCCTCCACTGAAGTTTTAAACCTCTCAGTTATCCGCAAGAGTTGGAATCAACTTCTTCCAAACTCCTATTAATGCTGACATTTTCACGTCCTCCCCCATGAATCACGAAGGTTCTTAATGGCATCTAGAATGGTCAATCGTTTCCAGAAGGCTTTCAATTTACTCTGTCCAGATCCATCACAGGAATCACTGTCTACAGCAGCTATAGCCTTACAAAATTTATTTCTTAAATAAGAAGACTTAAAAGTCACAATTACTCCCTTGATCCACAGGCTATGTATGGAATGGATGTTTTAGCAGGCATAAAAACAACATTAACTCCTTATACATCTCCATCAGAGCTTGTGGGTAATCAGGTACACTGTCGATGAGCATTTTGAAAGGAATCTTTTTCTTAGCAGTAGGTCTTAACAGTGGGCTTCAGTAAACCATGCTGTAAACACATCTGCTGTCATCTAGGCTCTGTTGTTCCACTGGCAAAACAGATTTAGCATCACCCTTAACAGCTTTAGGATTTTCAGAATGGTAAATGAGCATTAGCTTCAACTTAAAGCCAACAGCTGCAGTAACCCCTAACAAGAGAGTCAGCCTGTCCTTTGAAGCTTTAAAATCAGGCATTGACTTCTCCTTTCCAGCTATAAAAGTCCTAGGTGGCATCTACTTCCAATAGAAGGCTTTTTTGTCTATGTTGAAAATCTGTTGTTTAATGCAGTTGCCTTCATCAATGACCTTAGCTAGATTTCCTGGTTAACTTGCTATAGTGTCTACATCAGCCCTTGCTGCTTCACCTTGCACTTTTCTGTTACAGAAATGACTTCTTTCCTTAAACCTCATGAACCCACCTCTGCTAGCTTCCAACTTTTCTTTTGCAGCATTGTCTCCTCCCTTAGAATTGAAGAATTCTTCAAAGAATTGAAGAGAAGCAGGTCCTTGATCTGGATTACGCTTTGGCTTTAGAGAATGTTATGGCTGGTCTTCTATCCAGACCATTCAAACTTTCTCCAAATCGGCAATAAGGCTGCTTTGCTTTCTTATCATTCATGTGTTCACTAGAGTAGCACTTTTAATTTCCTTTAAGAATTTTTTTCTTTGCATTCACAACTTGGCTAACTAGTGTAAGACGCCTAACTTTTGGCCTATCTTGGCTTTTTACATGCCTTCCTCACTAAGCTGATCATTTCTAGCTTCTGATTTAAGTTGAGTTATGCAACTCTTTCTTTCACTTGAACAATTAAATGCCCCATAGGGTTATCAATTGTCCTAATTTTCATATTGTTGTGTCGCAGGGAATAGGGAGGCCCAAGTAGAAGAAGACAAGAAACAGATAGTTAGCAGAGCAATCAGAACACACACACAACATTTATCAAGTTCATCATCTTACATTGGTGTGGTTTGTGGTACCCCTAAAGAATTACAACAGTAATACCAAAGATTACTGATCCTAAAGCAGCATAATAGATTAATAAAGAAAAATTCTGAAATATTGTGAGAAGTACCAAAATGTGGCACAGAGACACAAAGCGAGCACAAGCTATTGGAAAATGGCACTGGTAAGACTTGATGCAGGGTTACCACAAAGCTTCAATTTGTAAGAAACGTGTCTGTGAAGCACAATAAAGCAGAGAACAACAAAATGAGGTATACCTGTACTTAGATAAAAAGACATAATTTCACACAGTTCTATAAATGTGATCACACATTGGGTATGCACATAGAAACAAACTGAAAACATTTTAAACAATAAAAAGCATATTTGGATCTCGCAGTGGTTCATGTCTATGATTAAAAAACAATGAACATTAATAGAGAGTATCATGAAGGAAAACACTTGTAGCAATCGAAATTTAGGTTTGAACGCCCCAAATACAACAAATAAGAACCGAAATTTTCAGTACATAAGAACATATTTGACATATATGCTTTCCAAAGTACTTTTTCTACAAAATAAACCATGTAACAATCGAGTACGATTTAAATAAGAAAGAAAAGAAAACTTGCTAACTAAGCTAACTACATACCATGGAGTCCCAGGAATCGGAGTTGTAGCAACTGGCTTTGCCTTCTGGGCAGCCTTTTCTTCTTCGGTCATCTCCTCTTCTTTGGGCTCCTATGCGAAATGATATTACTCCTATTTAATTACTATCACAAAACTATATTTGAATAGTCCACAAAAAAGAGTGTAACTGCAAACAGCTCCAAGTGCAACCAACACAAAGTCTGTTGCTAGAAGAGGAGGGGGGACTTCAAGTAGAAATTTCAAAAAAAAAAATCTAAATCCTTGCCCACAGAGGAATTTCACTTCACAGCAGCAGAACCCAGCAGCTGCATCTGGTCTTCTCTGATAGACTCGATAACCATGTGATTAGGAGCAGAAATGGAGAATTACAGTATAAAGAACTAGAGGAGATCTCTTCATTTAACATTGTTTCTGATTTCTGCTAACTGTCCTACCACTAAAATATGACTACCACTAGTCCTTCACTGAATCAAGGAAGTTTTGGAAAAGCAACTCTTTTAGTGCTATAAAGGGATCATTCCATGCCAGAACACAACAGTAAAGAGGACAGATAAAATGTGTCCAACATTCTCCAAATATGAAGTTACACTTAATGACTTCAGCATGTACCAGTCTCTAAGTCAAGATGTTGGAGGGCCAGGCATGTTGGTGGCTCACGCCTGTAATCCTAGCACTCTGGGAGGCCTAGGCAGGAGGATCGCTCAAGGTCAGGAGTTCAAGACCAGCCTGAGCAAGAGAGAC